ATCCCCATACGCCGCTGCCGTATACACATCATCCCTCAAACTCTCCTCCTCACCTACACCACCGTTAACCACCGCCGTAGACGTCGATGATTCATCTTCATTTCTCGATTCAACCTCCTCCACCACCTCGATCTCCGATGCCATTTCTGAATCAATATGAAAAATTTGACTATGAAATTGGATTCAATATATATATATAATTTGAACGTGAGAATGAATGGAGATTCTAGGGTTTTTCTGGGAAGGAGGAAGAGGGTTGACTCGGTATGGAGAAAACAAACACCAAATCACCAGAAAGACAAATTGCTATGGAAATTCTAACATCATTTCTTTTATTTACTTTTTCTTAGGTGTTTATATTTCTTTTGACTTTTTCTTATAAATTTTTTTACGATCTGATTAAATTTATATTTACGTATTGTCAAAACTATAGTTAGATTCACTCAAATTTGCCCTATGAAAAAGTATTCTTGTTTTATATCTAAATTTCGAATCTAAAATATCTAATAAGATAATATTTGAAATTTTTTCAAAGAAAAAAAAAATTGCAATTAAATTAACTTCTACTTAATTTATAATAAAGGAAGAGGGTCAAAAATGAATATAAATATCCTTTTGTTAGAGTTTGATTCAAAAAAATGTCTTAGTTATCGATAATTTAGTCAAGAAAAATTCTTGATTATTATTTTCGAATTATAAATACTTTTTTCATAATAAATATATTATTTATTTTTTCGTTTTTAAAGTATTATTTTTTTAATAATATTTTTTTCTTTACCTCTTCCATTTAAAATTCTTTTATTATATAAGTAATATAAAAGTGGAAAGTATTTTTTTTATTCTTTCTTATGCTTAGATTGTTTTTACTAAGATTGATTATTGCTCTACTTTTTTATTTATTTTTATTAATATTAAGACGTTTGAATATATATGTATATTTGAATATTAAGATGTGTATTAAAATTTAGAGATTTAAATTTAAATACACATGAATATTAAAATTTGAATACAAATAGTTAAGATTGTTTATTTCTCAATAATTGAATGTATGGAATTTATCTTTGTTTAAAAAATAATATGCATGAAACTCAAATAAATATGTTTAAAATATTGTATATTAATAAACATGTTTAAAATATTGTATGGTAATTAGGTGATAACTAACTATGGTGTGTGTCAATAGTATTGACTGATGACGGCGGTTGTGGGATAGTATCTTATGGTATAGTGATTGGTCGTAGCGGTTAATAGTGGTTGGTGATGATGGCGGTTACTAATTAATGGTAGTATGATATTTATAGCTAATGGTGTTGTTGAATGATGATAATAGTTAGTAGTATGTAATGTTGACTAATGATGATAAATATCGACAGTGATCAAGTGAATGTAATAATGGTTGGTGGTGATGATTGCAAAGGTTGATAAACGGTGATGAAGATTGATTTTTTGGTCATTGACAATAGTGACGATTGTGATCGTACCGTGAAAGGTTGTAATGATTGACCTTGATGATAGTTATGGCAAATTAATGATTGCGAATTGTGAGTGATGGGTGAAAGTAGATGGAGTGACAACAAAATGTCATCTTTATACAAATATATATGTAATAATCATATTTATTTTTTGATATAAATATAGTGTGTGTTTTTAAAATGACCTTATAATAGTAGATATATTTTGTTATTAATATTTACTTGATATGAGTTGTTTGTGATAGTAGTGAACAAGAAGAGAAGAGGCATGTTTCTTATAATCCGAAGAGTTTTTTTTTTTGGTTTCTCTAACCGTAATCAATAAATAAAAATTAAAATTTCGTAAAATTGTATAAGAATTGAGGAAATCTTGATAGTTTTGACAATTTGTAGGACTTTTATAAGGAAAATAAATAAAACTTAAGAAATTTAAATCGCATGTCCAAACAAACTTTAACTTCGTACCAAACTGATTTCATATTGCATATTGAAACGGGCCATAATCTTATTACATTGAGGTTTCAACTACATTTTAATTTGCACAACTTAAAAACTATTTTTTAAAAAATTAAGTTATTTTTAAGTAAAACATTTATTTAGTCTCCATTCATTTTTATAAAAAATAAAAGTATATAAATTTGATTCAAAAGTTATATTTTAAGATGTAAGCTAAGACTAAAATATTTAAATTTTAATATAAAAACCGTTTCTAATGTTTAGGAGTTAGGACACATATATAGGGGTTAAAACAAAAACTTACTTTGACGTATATAAAGACCCCTAAAATAATTTTGGGTCAAAGAAAATATCTAAGGTTCAATTAAAAAAAAATTCCAATTATTTGAGTAAAAATGAAGTAATTATTATTTTTCTTTAAAAAAAATACTTTCTTTTTGACAATAAACAATCTTATAGACCATGTAACATGGGCTAGGCAATGACAAAATAATACCACTTGCATGAAATTATTTACATTAATTGTTGACCTAACAATAGAGTGCCACTTGCACAAAATCATTAATACACATTATTTTCGAAAGATTGTTACGTATTGTTTTATATCGTATAATATATATTATTATAAATATGATATTGAATTAATGATATTTAATAAATTTTATATATCAACAATTTAAAGAAAAAATAAAATTATAAAAATTACTTTTACGTTAGATAAAAATCGTACTTATAAATATGTGGGTCAATTTGGTCATTGGGGCCTGCTCTTGCCTATATAATCAAGGTAGAAAAAATTACATGAATAAATACATTTTTAAAAATAATTACTGATTTTAGTGATATTTTTTGTTTATTATCATTTATAGCAATATTGTGATAAATCTGTAATATGTATTAAAAGTGAATTATGTATACAATATATTTGAATTATAATTTTTTTTTAAATATATTATGTTTGTTTGGTAAAAAATTGTCACATTGTATTAAAAGTTTATTAAAACGTTTGATAAATGTATTATTCATCATTAGAAATTGTATTATATTTAAATAATTAATTTATCTTTGTAATATGTATTAAACTTGCATTATAAATGCATTAAAAGTAGTCAAGTAAAAAAATATTATTGCTATAAATGGTAAATATTTTTTTATTATAGTATATTTATGTAAGTTTACCATTAAGGTATTGGCCTTTGGCCTTAGGCCTGGGGCCTCAAATTTCTACAAATAATAAATTATGTCTTAACCCATTTAAATAGAAAAAATTAAGAAAACATAGTTTTGGATTCTTATATTTTTTTTCCGTCAACACTCACGTTATTTATTCTTTTTAGCTCCTTTTGCACTCTATTTGTTCACATCTTTAATAGTTAGAGTAATACATTCTCAAAAATATGAATCAATAGTTAAAAAGTGTTGAGCAAAGTGTATTATAATTATTTATTTATTTCTTTGTTATTTTTCATATTAATTAGGTATACCAAGTTATCAACGTTGTTAATCGGATTCTGTTATTTTTACTCTTCATCTTTAAAGTTTATTAACTTATTACTTATAGGATTGTTAATAATTCATATAATAATTGTCTGAATAAAATGATGTTTTCAATGTACTTAAAAATTATAATAAAAAAAATATTTGAAAATTTTATTTATGTAAGATATATTAAGAAGTAATTTATATCTATATATTTAGATAAACGAATAAATATAGATAAAGTTTATTTAGATTTTAGGCCTCAAATAATATTTTTTACTTTAGACCTCGAATTATGTTGAGACGCCTCTGCTATTCATTTTAGTATTTAAATTCATGTGTTTTTAATTAATCTTCTGTTATTTTCGAGTTCTAAATGCTAACTAGTTATCGTGAAATAATTTATATAAATTTTAATCCAAAGATAATAGCAAGGGAGGCCAAGAGACATAGAATATACATTTTTGTATTAGCTTGAGAAAAAAGAAAATTCATAGATACTATTTATAATATCTTTTTTGAAATCGACATAAGGATTCAAAATAGAATAAAAGATATGATTTGCATATGTTCATATATCTGTACTATAAGAAAAATTAATTCTTTTAATTAATTATTTCGAATTCACAGGATTTTGCCTCTTTTGAAAGAGATCAATATAAAGTAAAAAATATGAACTAATCAAAACTTGAATCAAGTTTTAATTTTTTTTATCTCGCATAAATAACATATACATTTATATTGTTTATATAGAAAAACAACCAAATATGGGATCATAAATAATATTACATTTATGCGAGATGAAAATAATTAACCAATTAATGTATTACTTATTTAATTAACAAAATTGTATACAAATACTCTTTCTAGTTGGTCTACATTAAGTGCATTGTTAAGATTTGTTTCATTATTCAAAATAAACGACAATTTATGTCCAAAAAATTATTGATCTTTTTATATTACCCTTTTTAAATTCTTAACTATTTTAATTTTTTTAGAAAAATAATTAGAAAAACAGTGAAAAGTAATAATTTATTTATGTCCTAAAATGCTTATCTTAAAAAGATATATCATATCCTTATAATTTACTTAAATACTTTGAATTAGTCATAATAAAAGTTAACATGAAATGATAAATACTCATTTATTCTTAATCAGGGTATTCGAGTTCAAAATTTTTCTAACTACAAAATCATCTTTATTAGAGACTGCTTTACCTCAGTATTAAAATTTTTGAGATAAAATAATCGAATATAATTTGAATTCGCAGAACCTTTACAAAATAAATTCATAAAGAATTAACAAGTGTTAAACTATACAGTGTCAATGCTCCATGACAAAGATTTCATCATTGATTATAAAGTTTTTGAATTATCAGGATAATATTCTAAAAACGGGGTATAATTTAAAATTTCACATCGACAATCAGTATATCAAAATATGGAAATTATTATTATTTTTTATCTTTCGTATCAAACATCAATAACTATTTAGCCAACCATGTGTCACAACTCACAAGTTTTCGTTACTACACAGAGAATGCTTCAGTTACGGATTCTCTGTTGTGGTTCTGCTTTTTACATAATCATATTCATCTTCTTTAACCTTTTTTTTCTCGTAATTATTGCTTAATCATATGCCAATTAACACTAATTTACTCATAATCCAAACCAATTATTCTTCATTCCTTTCCCATTAATTAATAAAACAAACAATTTAATGTGCCTTTGTTTCCCTCAATTCCTGCCCTATATGTTTCATTTCATGTTAACAAATATTACTATTTTTAATCCTATTTTTGTCTTGTTTTTCTTGTTTTTTTGCTAAACCCCATTATTCCTTAAACCCATTATATATTCGATTCAAATAATTTTATCATAAATCTGTTTATATTATCATATCAATTAACAGTAGAAGAGAGTATGAACATTTATAATGTTTATTTTCTTTCGCTTTCTTTGTGGCTGTTGATGATTACTGTTATTTTAAATGCACAAGAGATTGCTGAATCGCCGTCTCCATCACCACCACCGTATTATAGATCTAGAGGTTCGCCTTTTAGACCGAGCATAGTAATAGTAGTAGCAATACTCACAACTATATTCTCAATCGTGTTTATGTTGTTGTTATACGCGAAGCATTGTAAGAGGGAAGGTGAATTTGGTATGACGGGAGGAGGAGGAGGATTGACGAATGCAGGTTCATCGAGCTTTCGGAAGAACTCCGGTATTGATCGGACGGTGATTGAGTCGTTGCCGGTGTTTCGATTTGGATCTCTTAGAGGTCAAAAAGCTGAAGGACTTGAATGTGCTGTTTGTTTGAATAAATTCGAATCGACTGAAATTCTCCGATTGTTACCGAAATGTAAACACGCGTTTCATATTGAGTGCGTTGATACTTGGCTTGATGCTCATTCTACTTGTCCTCTTTGTCGATATCAAGTTGATCCAGAAGATATTCTGTTAATTTCACATGAAAATGAGAGAAAATCTGATTCTACCGCATGTTCAGCATCTCCGGCGAAGGAAAAGAGGATGTATTCTTCATCTTCTGGAAGACATTCTTCCGCCGGAGAAAGAGGAACTTCATCGTCATCGTTGCAGATAATCGTTGAAACTCCGAAACAGGAAACGCCGTCGTTTCTGAACAAGAGAATGTCGTTAGACAGTTGGAATTTCTACCGGAAAAAAAGCAAATCCACTAATTCGACTTCGTTATCGAGAAAAGACGGAATGCTATTAAGCAAAAAGAAGGCGCCGGCGCCGGCGACGGAACCGGAGGTGGAGGATAGGCGGTTGGAACACCGAATCATTATATCCGGCGATGAACCGGAGCTGGACACGGCAAGTGGGTCCCGGCAACGGTGGAGTGACGTGGAGGCTTGTGATAGGTTGTATTTGAGGTCGGAGATGTTATTAAGCGAGAGCCGTAGATATTCAGGATCGAGAAAACGGACGGCGGAGATGGAGAGTGGCAGAAGGGTAATAAATGAGAGAAGTGTGTCGGAATTGACAGGGATGAGTAGGTTTAAGAGTAATAATAATAATAATGAAGAAGAAAGAGAAAGGAAAGGAGCAGTGAAAAGATGGTTGGATTGGATATCTCAATCACAAAACAAATCTATGTCTGATTCAGGTGCAAGTGTTGGTGCAGGTGCAACAACTTCTTCATTTTCAGCATCGTGATAAGTCGGGTCGGATCGTATCGAATGTTTACGTTAAATCAATTGACGTATTATGATATAATTGTATAAGTTTTTTTTTTGTTGTTGGTGGCATCTCTTTTTCATGATGAGATAAGGCAGAGTACAAAAAGAATGATGAAATCATATTGTAATAGTAGTGGTTTTGTACTTTAGTTAGTGGAAAGTGAAAGAGTAGTACTTAAAAATAGATTTATTTATTTATTTATTGAATTTTTTAAATGTTATTTGGATTAGTGAAAAAGATTTACTGTATTTGTTTGGATTAAATTTAATGAAGATCTTAATTTGAATGGTGAGTGAAGAAATAAATTTGCGGTGTATAAGGATTTTATACCTTCTGTCGATGAATATGAGAGAGTCTAAATCTTACAAATTGAGTTAGTTGGTTCCTATAGTCAAAATCTTTTCATTTTGAAGATTAAATGAGTTCAAAATAGATCAACTCTCATTTTCTCAATTTCATGTGCTATAGTCTATGGATTTTCGGTGATTCGGAATTTTGAATTTGGTTTTACCAGAATGTTTCATGGACGTCTGTTAAGACTTAATGGAGTCAGTTGGATCCCACGGGAATATTACCTAATTGGACATACATCCATATTTCATATCATATATACTAATTCTAATTTCTATATATACTTTCAAATAATTATGTATAATGATCTTATCACTAATTAATTTTTTTTATCATATATTTAGGAAGATATATCTAAATACATGCATTTTTGCTATTAGATACATTGAAATAGTGACAAAAACGAGTGAGATGGGAGAGAGATAGTCATGTATCTAAGATACATATAAATCACAACAAATATATATTAGATACACGTATCTGTAGGATTAGAGGCGACAATTTCAGCTCATATATGTGAAATTGGTCTATTTTATATGGGTCTGTTGTGATCCAATTCATTTTAACTCAATTCATATTTAATCCATCCAAATCCAATCTAATCCAACTATTTGCCACTCCTATCCAGGATTACATATATAAGAGAATGACGAGTGAGATGAGAGGTAGATATATGTATATCCATTTGAATACAATATATTTAGAATAAATTATAGGGCAAATTTTATATATAACAAAGAAAAAATTCATATTTGTATGCTATAACAAAGTTTGCATAATTGCGCTCCATATCAAGCATATAACTGTATAATTCGTTGTACATATACAACTATATAATTCGATGGCCTAAATTGTATAATTCGCTGGCCTCGCTATACATATACAATTGTATGATTCGTTGTCAAAAATTGTATAATTTGCTTGCCTATTTCACTGCAATTGTATGATGCGCAATTGTATAATTCTGTGGCCTATTTCGCTGCAATATGTGTATAAAATTTGTTTTGCATACAATTGAATCAAAGTAAAATATTTGTATATTGTATAATTATATGTGTATAGGAAGAAGATATATATTTTTCTCTCGCTTAATACAAAAACAGAAACACAATTTATACACTTCTGTTATATAAAGCGAGAGAAAATTGTATTTCACTACAATTGTATAATTCGCTGGCCATTTTTGCTGCAATATTTGTGTACAAATTGCATTTGTATATAATTAAATCGAAGTAAAATGTTTATAAATTGTATAATTAAGTGTATAGCATGAAGATATATGTTTTTTTCATGTGTATATATAATTCTCTCTCGTTTTATACAAAACAGAAACACAATTTATACATTTCTGTTGTATAAAGCGAGAGAGGCAAGCAGAGGGAGAGTGACGAGCGAGAAGGGAGTGTGGCGAGCGAGAGTTTTGGGAGAGAGTCGACTAACAAACGTTGACAAATATTTGTTATGGGCACAATTAAATCAAACAGTAGTTACTCTATTTATTTTAGGTTATTAGTTTGCTAATATATATACAATAAGCAGGAGGTCAGTCTTGATATTATACTAAAAGCCCTATCTTCAGACAGAGCAGAGCAGCCCTTGCAATTATCCCTAAATCATATACCTAATTTTGATTTTATTATTGTGGGTTACATATACGTGGACGTACACAAATTCGATTAGAATATGTAATATTATAAATTAAAATGTATTTAATTAATTAACTCGTAAATTAATGACATACTGCAAATTTAAATAGGTCATTGTATATACAACCACATGCATCGACGTAATTTCTTGAAGGCAAATTCCGAATTCAATCAAATTAGGGCAAATCAGAAAGATGTTGAGGTACGTCGGAAATCGAATTCCGGGGTTAGGGCAACGACGGTCGTCGTCGGCGGTGGCGCAAGGGGTTTACCGGCGGCTATATCATGAAAGAGTGGTGGACCATTACAATAATCCTCGTAATGTTGGGTCCTTTGATAAGAACGATCCCGCAGTCGGTACGGGTCTCGTCGGAGCTCCGGCTTGTGGTGATGTAATGAAACTTCAAATCAAAGTCGATGAGAAGACCGGAAAAATTACGGATGCTTGTTTCAAGACCTTTGGTTGTGGCTCTGCTATTGCTTCTTCCTCACTCGGTACGTTTTTTCAATTCCGAAATCTTTGTTGATCCCTGTGTTTTCCGGGAATTTTTAGTTCTAAGAGAAAGAGATAATTGTAATAAACACACCGAAAGTATCACTTTTGTGTGAGTTTTAAATCTGAACTATCACTGAATAACTAAAGGATCACCCTTTTGCGAGTTTTCCAAGTGAACTAAGAGGTGTTTTCGTTTGCTATCTGAATTGTAACCAAGTATTTATCGAAATTAGCTCGAATTTAATGAGTTAGCTGTCATGTGGATGAAATTTTGTCGAGGTGTGTTTTGATACATAGTTGGTGGTAGTTCAGGTAGGAAACACAAACACGTGATAGTTAAGGTATGAAATTTGCAAAATAGTAATACACTAAGTGTGTTTTAATCATTGTGTCAAATAAAATTGAGAAAGAGGAATCTATTTATCCTATTTCACATATTATGTAATGTTTTTATTGAGCATATGATGCTATTTATTAAGATGGGTGTTGGTGTTTATGAGTTTAATTTTTCCAATTTTCAGCAACGGAATGGGTGAAAGGGAGAACAATGGAGGAAGCATTGTCCATAAAGAACACGTAAGTCCTTTGCACTTTCTTTTCCTTTGTCATTTTTGTGTGTGTTTTAAGGATACATAGTGTGGTTTGAGATTGTCTCTTTCAGTTTTTTTTCCTGCCTTCCTCAAGTGACCTTAAGTAGTTGAACAGAGCCGATTCTCTTAGTTATATGGCTCGAATTTTGAGTTCTTTTCAAAGAAACCATTTTTATTGTTCCTGCTTCGTCAAGTTTTAGTGAAATGTCCTTTAATTCCATGGTCCTTCTATATGTTGTTCAATACCAATATTGCTTTAGAAATAGTAGTGTGTACTCAGTGGCTCCTAAATTGTGTCAGATTTCAGTTTCAAAAATACTGTTCTGCAAATTAGCATTTTAACCAAAGTAGTCGGTTAGCGTAATTCCCCCTTTTTTGGATGAGGGGTGGTAGTATAAGCTGGCATGCATGTTTATCGATAAACTTGGGATGCCTGTTGACCAACCCACTCGATACATGTTGTACCCAAGGAATTCTGGTCCCCGAGATTTTAACAAATGAAAAATTTACTTTGTGTCATCTTTGTTGAGATTTGAAACTTATGTCCCTAGGATGTTACTTCAGCTCTTTGGATGCACTGTTCGCATCCTCCTCCTAACATGCACTGAAAAGATTAAGGTTGAAACTGCTTGGAGATAAGAGGTTTTCCTTTATCCTTGTTTGTGTCGATTCAGCAAAATTGAAGGTGTAACTTATTTCAGAATGAGGTTACAACACTAGATATCTCATCCCCACCTGTAATAGGTCAATTAGAAGGTGGTCCCTTAAAATAGGAATGGTCGAATTGAGCTTAAGAATTCTTTTCTTTTTATGAACTTGTTGAAACCTCGGAAAAAAAGCTTTTTGAAACGTAGCCGAAAAATACTTACTCAAAAAAAGAAAAAGAAGAACGAAAACTTTGCCGAAGAACAAAAACAGAATGCAACAAGTACTTTGGTTTAAATTTTAAAGGGCAATGTAGACAACACGGGGTGTGTAGTAGGCACTACATGGGTTTGAGTCCTGAATGTGTACCAAGTCTTGTATTTAAGTAGAAAACAGTAGAGGACCAGGCCTATTATCGACCGAGTTTTAAAACTAAAACTACTCATTTCTTAATATAGTTTAGAGTGAACTTACTTTGAGGAACTGGATATGTGCAACTTTCTTTTGAGAGATAGCAAGTGTATCATTAGTTTAGCACCAAGAAACAATCATAACTATTTACGGGATACCAAAAGAACTTCCCTTCTAACTCGAGGCTTGGCCAACTTACATCAGGAAAAGAAGCGAGGATTGACTAACTGGCCCCATTGCTTGTTAAACTATCTGTATGATGCATTTATTTGTAAAAGCATTTTCACGATGCATGTATATTTGCAGTTTAAAGCATTTTACAAATTCCCTCTTTGTCCTCGCTTTTGACTCAGTTGTAAAAGGGATTATTTATGACAGAATTGATGCTCATATGAAGGACCTGGTGAATCTTAAGTTTAGTACGCAGTGGTTATCAAGTCCAGTCCTGCTAAGTTTAAATTTGATCTATTTCCATTTTGCTTGATAACTTCACTTGAATCTAATGAACAATAGGCGTCCTAAATCATGCGGCTATTCTTGTGTTAATGCGTTTGTCATTTTACTGAAAGCATATATATTCATTATTAGAAGACTGGATTTCTTGTACCACAACTGTCTTTACCTATACTTTGAAGAAAACTGATCCATCTTGAAATCGATTGCTTTTCGAGGATCCCCATGAAAGCGTGTTTCTTTCTTTAGGATAGACTACCTCATGGCGTAGTTCAACTTCAACTTTTGCAACATTATTAACTCCCAAACAACAGATACACCACCCCATTAGTCTTATTTCTAAATACCTGTCCCCTTACTGTTTTTCTTTGATCCAACTTATTTTTTTCCGTATCATCTGTGGATAGAGATGATCAGATAGTCTAAGAAAAACAAATCTGTTCTTTATCTTCAGATTACTGTATTGTTTGATTGTATCCTTTTTCAAGAATGCTTTGTCATGCTTCTTGCTAGATTCTTTACTTCCGCTAAATCTTTTTCCTTGAGCCTGATCAAGGGTTTATCAGACACAACCTCTCTACCTCCCAAAAATAAATAGGGGTACGGTCTGCCCTCTCTAAAGTCTACTCGTGCGACTACACTAGGTATTGTTGTTGTCGTTGATATTTAAGTTTACTGCAGGGAGATAGCAAAACATCTG